AATTGTTCGTAGTCCTACATGGGCCGCCAAAAAAGTAGCGGAAGGGGGGAAGTTTAAGATGGGCTGGAGCCTGGCAAAGGTGAAGGTCCTCAGCCGGCGTACGCACTGCCTCCGGTGTATGGGAAGGAGGCACGTGGCTGCAAGGTGCCCGGCAAAGGAAGACCGGAGCACAATTTGCTTTAAGTGTGGGAAAGCGGGACACAAGGCGGTGGAATGTGCTGCCAAGCCCTGCTGCGGCATATGTGCGGAGAATATTCGACCGGCTGACCACGTTATGGGGAGGGGGAAGTGTGACCCGCCGGTCACTAAGGGCAAACTCCCCGAAAAAATAGCCTCCGAGTCGTCGGCGCCCGGACACTTACCCTCAGAGGGGGGATGGGGGAGTACCCTTTGCCGCTCGGACCCCCTAAGAATGCTGTCGCCCGCGTTTCCCCCCTCTTTTCTCCTAGGAAAAGGGGCGAGGAGACGTGGGCGACCGGGAGAGGGGAGAGGGACGGAAAGTACTACGCTTCCCCTCCCGCCAACCCAACCCAGGAACGGCGGCCCCCCTCTTGCAGTTTTGTCCTGCAAAGGGGGGCTACGGAGGGCTGCTTGGACGGGTACGCCTATGAAGCCCTCCGCAGCGGACGGGGGGCGGTACGGTGGGCACTAGGCCGCGTACTCAGCCCCCATGCGCGGACTATCCTGCGCACGTCTGCGGGGTTCCCGCTATTGAGGTATTCCTCGGGAGACCCCTGCCGTGGAGCCCCGGCGGGGCCGGGAAGCTGCTGGGTGCGAAGCCGTGGAAGAATCCCTAAACGGGGACCCTGTGGGTCCGCATTAATCAGTGTTGAAGGTTTTCGCAGGAATTTTTTAGCGGATATTATGCCGTAAAGCGCCCGTAAGAGTTGCGGGGTCCTCGGTGGGCAACAACTAGGGGGTCCGTAAGACTTGCGGGAGCCAGGTGTGATGTCCGTTTGGCGGTGTGCCTCTTAAAGGCGCCGTCGTCTGTAAACAGCATTTTTTACCTGAGTTTAAAAATAAGGGGGGGAGGGTGCCAGGAGGGTCAAAGGAACCCTCGATGTTACCTCACACACTGCAGAACGTTGAACTAACTGGTGACTCACGCATGTTATTATAACGTGACATGACGTCACACTTTTTCGTACGGTAGTCGGTTTTCATTGATTTATAAGACGTTACCACGTCAAAATATATTGATATTACAGTAATAAAATTACAGTAACGACGACGACCTCCGTGGCTCGAGTGGTAAGTACGTCGATTTTCAAGGTGTCGCCTACTCGGACGTCACGGGTTCGAATCCCGATGGGGAACATGTTTTAGTGACGAATACGAGCATTTGTACCTAAATCATGGATATGTATTTCTAAAAAAAATATTCTATTCGTTACCTTAGTATCCCATAAAATAAACCTTACAGTGCTTACTTTGGGGTTAGGCTAATTGGTGTGTGTTAGAAGTATTTACTCAAATATAAATATTTGAATTTAAATCAATGCAGGCATGTTAGGACCCGCTTACACCAAAGTTATTAAATTAAAATTTTGAAGCTTATAATATTTAAGCCCGAATTCAATCTTCTCTATTTGATATTTACTTTGACTAAGTGACTGACGTGACGAATTTAGCTTATTATAATGCGATTTGAATTGAGTCTAATTAAATTATTATATTACTTTATAGCATTCGTCGTCGGTGCAACATCAGTACAACAAGTTAACAGATTTATCGCCAATCGTTCGTTTGTCTACTACATCTTCCTTCACGACACTCCACTCTTCTGTGGAGTATTGGCAGGCTGAACGGAAAGCAAAATCATGATAATCAAGACAACAATATGAAGATGCTTTTCCTGGAAATACGTTTGAATAAAATCTACAACAGATATTAAACTTTTATTTCGCAATAAAACGATGTCTATAATTATATCATTTTTTCGATAATGCTACAAATAAAATATTCGTATTCTTGTTAATTTTGGTTGGTAATGGAAAACTATTGATATTGTAGTAATCTTTATTGAAAGAACTATGTAAAAATAATAAATATAAAATAGCACTTTTGAAAAACTACATCGAACGGCTGTAAAATTGTATAGGTATTATAATTAACACCCTTTAACTCTCACTGCAGTATTCCTAATGCACGAAGACAAAAATAAATGTGATCAATTTACGTAAAAACACTGTCACAACCCATTGGAAACTAAGCGTTCATCGTCCAAAATTAATCAATCGCCTACATCGCTTCCTCAACGCTGAATGTGGTGATCGGATTACAGAAGATCGGAAGATAGATTCTTCAAAACAATATAGATACATACAGCTGATTAGTCAAAATTCTGATAAATTTTATTGAACCAAAAAAAATTGTCCAGCTATATAGAAATGTCACTACACAACATTAAAAAACCGGCCAAGTGCGTGTCGTGCCACGTGCAGTGTAAGGGTTCCGTAGTTGCTTGTTGTTACTACAATATATTTGAGCCTTTATTTTCTATATCGGAAATTAGAAAAACCATTAAATATATGTATCTCCAAATCAAAGTCAAACTGCGTCTCAAAATCAAAATCGATTGTATGTATATTTTTTTGTTTTCTCCCAGGTGGGAGCGGGTGTGTAAAAATCACTATTATCATAAAATTTTCCAGGTTTTTCAAGCCTTAGGTTAGCGTTTGGAGGGGGGGGGGGCACACGAACAAAAATTAGCATTTTAAAGTTCAATATTTTGCAAACGGATCCCTAAATCGAAAAATAGTCGTAGGAGATGATGAACAAAAGTCATCCTCAAATTACATGTAGGGGGAGCTACCCTAAAAATATTTTGCAAAATTTATTCTACCATTTGTCTGCGTGATTGATATCTCCAGAAAAACAGCTCTCTAGTGCTAATAGTCTCCAAGCAAAACTGGGGACGGACAGACGGACATAATGAAACTATAAGTGTTCCTTTTCAGGACTACGGAACCCTAAAAATTACAATGATTTTCATGAATAGCCAATGAACACAACTTTTGCACAACTCTTTATTTTATCCGTATTTAGTATCATATAACACAAATTAGTATTATCTAGGAATTGGTGTCGATCCTGGCATGATTCTCTAAACCTAAACTTTTTGACCTATAAAGACTGAAAAGTGATGTTGAATTTAGTTTGAAGTTTAGAGAACCACGCCAGAATCGACACCATTTTTAAATCAAGTAATAACATGAAAAGACTTTTCAGCACCTTATGTGTACAAAAATATCGCTATTAGCCTACTTTATTTTATGACTTGTTATTAGAGTTGATGATTATTCCATTATCATCATCAGCCCAATGTCGCCATACATTCACAGCTGACAGAATCTTCCACGGAACCGTCTTTAACTCACAACGCAAGGACCTCAAATAATATAATTTTGGTCACCCATCCGATGACCAGCAAAAGTTCCATAAGTTTAGTACAGTGTGACGTTACGCAAAGCGTAAGACCTTTGATTTCACGTGGCGTAAGCAGGGCATATTCAAAATTTTTGAATGAAATTGATATTTTTTTTTTGTAAAAGATAAATATTTACTTTTGTTGGCAATCTCAATCAGTGCGCGTTGTGTCCAATGATATTAAATATCTGACCTTAACTTTTACAATGGTCGACCGATCGCACGTATCTTATGTTAGCACTTCACTTTACATTAATCTGTCCTCATCATGCTCTACAAGGAATAAAAACGACAGATTGCTCTCTTGTTTACAAAAAAATAACAATAAGCAACCGGATATGCTGATCTTGCTTCAATTTTAAGAGAGAAGGACTGGGTCCTTACAGACTGACGTGACTTCAGGAAAGAAGAAATTAGGTAAGGTGTAAGATTAAACTTAGAAACGAATGGATACTCGCTGAGCAGGGCCGTTTCATAGAAAGTAGTGCCCTTAGCACGAACCAATATCGAATTCGTAACGTTTGCGAGTCTGAAATGACATTGTCAAATGTGTGCTGATTTTTAGTTCTCGTTACGTTCTTTGTAGCGCTGGTGTTCAAGTTTCCATACAAAATTTGACATTGACATTTCGCACTCGCAAACTATTCGAATTCGATAATGGTTCGTGCTAGGGGTACAGGTATGAAAGGTGGGAAAAAAGTAGTTGGCTGGTTTCTACATTATATGTATAACATGTTATACCTACCTATATGACATTGGTATAATTACTTACGAGAACTTTCTTTGGGCTCTAACTTTTGCCAGACTCCTACATGAGCAAAATGTGCACTTTATGCATAATTACGAAAAAGGAATCTACACGTATTAACAAATCGGAACAATTGCGTCTATCACAAAACTGGTTTGAATGATTTCCCTGCCAGGATTTAAACCAAAGACAGTTAAAACAGAAGTCAGGGGCATCTTAAATAACTGAACTATATAGGTAGATCGCCATCCAACTCTTTATGAAATTATTGTTATATGGGAAGAGGAGGGTCGTTAAATATATTTTTATAGTTTTTTCCGATTAGATTTTAAAATAAACTAGCTGACCCAGCGAATTTCGTACCGCTTATAACTTTATTTTAAAAATACTTCTTGTATTATTTATTCTCCGTGACTTTAAAAATAAATTTAATAGCCTAACCTTGTCCTGGCAATAATAAGCACAGTTAAAAATATTTATCCAATTGGTGCAGTCGTTCGGAAGTGATGCGCATACATACTTTTCATCGAATATTTTTTATTTTTTAATATATTACTAGTTGTGCCCCACGGTTTACTAAGGATATTCGCGCAGTAAAACGTAGCCTCTGTGTTAATCCAGGGTATCAGCTAACTCCATACCAAATTTAATTAAAATCGCTTCAGCCGTTAAGACGTGAAGAAGTAACAAACATACACACTCACACACTCACAAACTTTCGCACATTCGCACATTAATGGCACCGTCATACTATCGTATGATTTATGTCAGTTTCTCATATTTATGTATTAGTTCAGTTGCTCAAAATAGAGCATGTGAGGCTATAAAATCGGTAATTGTATATTTTGTAACACAGCTAGCTGGTTAGTGAATAAGGACGATGTTAAAGTTTGACTTCATCGCGATTATTTTAATAGTGTCTCTGCTAGTTTTCACTACAGGTATCTCGAAAAAAGTATTGATATAATACCTTTATTTTAAGAATTTGATCTAAGTATTTCCATTGCTCATTAAATTTTTGATATAATTAAACTTTAAATCATAACGTCAATGTATTATTGACGTTATATTGTTTTAAACTTTCATGGTCACTATTATAGCTATTAACGGGATTGTTACCATGTACCTTGTTTTTTATGAGTCTCCGATATTTCGGCACTGTTGCAAGCGCCATGATCACGGAGTAACTGAAATATCGGAATATCGGAGACTCATAAAAAACAAGGTACATGGTAACAATCCCGTTAATAGCTATAAAGTATTATTGACGTTATGATTATCAGGAGTATTTTTATCACACAACATAATAATCGATAAACTATTTTCACATCCTCATTAAAAGCGCACGAGTGTTCGATATTTGTCATATTAACTAAGTAATTTATAATGTTTCAAAGGAGTAATTAAGGTAAGGTGCGGTAATAACAGAACCTCTTTTCTTATAGGAGTAAATTCGAGTTTTCAGTAGATTTACAAATAATATTATTTCTCCCTTTCTTTTACAGTGGCGGAAACATATGATGACGTCGACGACTCATCGTCCAACGAATCAAGTAAGAGATAATTATTTTTTTCTAAATTGCTCTAATATATAGGCTCTAAATAGAGATATTATACAGTTAAGAGCAAAGAAACAGCAGTTTGTAATTTTTGAGATATCATTGCCGGTCGCTTTTGTAACATGCAATCGGTTTTCGATGTTGTTAATTCAAATTTTAACAATTTGTAAATTTTTTTTTTACAAAGACAAAATTGTTGTAAATTTGTTGCTCTCATCAGTCATGCGAAATATTGCCATGATACCGCATGTGGTGATTAGGCATAATGCATATTTAACTAATTTCTAAAATAAAACTAGTTTTTACGGGTTAATGCACGGAACTTTATTTATTTATTGACGTTTCGTAGCCTTTTCAGGCTACATCGTCAGAATTAAACTTTTATTTAATTTGTCGAGCTACCTTCGAAAGACTTTTTGAAAAAACCAAATTAGAGAGATGATGATAAATAAAAGTTTAATTCTGACGACGTAACCTGTAAAGGCTACGAAACGTCAATAAATAAATAAAATTTCGTGCATTAACCCGTAAAAACTAGTTTTATTTAATGAGTGATTTGCGTGAAAACCTAAGAAACAAATAATTTCTAAAAATTAAGGTATAGAACTCCGAAGTGCTATTTCAAGTATGTATACGAAAATCACTTTACAGCTTCGATTAGAATATTCTTAGAGGTTATAGTTTCAATAGTTTAATAAAAAAATGTAAAATGTACCAAATTTTAACTAAGTATTTGAATTACGTTTCGAATACTTAGTTAAAATTTGGTAGTTTACAAACCCCAAATTTTAAATAGACGAACATAATAATTATTACAAACGAAATTAGCAGTTAGGTTTTAAAAGATTTAAGGAAAAGACAAACATAAAAATGCAATGATCCTAAAATAGAATTAATTACTTGTGTAAAAGAAAATGACGGCATTAAATTTATTCCGACATAAAAGTAAGTAAAGGTCTATGTGAGTGTAGTCACGTAAAAATAGTTTATTACTGAAAAACAGTGAAAAGCTACCCAGAGCAAATATAATACTAATAAATTATTTATTAGTACAGTTGGTACAAACAAAATAATTATATACATTGCGCACTTTACACACATTGCGGCTGAAGAAAACTGGTAGGTAGACACTAACTCATAGAAACCAAAAGATATAAAACTATGTAAATAAAAGGCGAATGCCACTTATAGGTGGGACAAAGCGTTGCTTGAAAACAATGGCACGACGAATGATTCGGTTGAAAGAAATGTGTCTTTGCTATTAATTGCAAGGACGACATTGTTTTATAAATCATATTTTTTTTATATTAAATGAAAATCCATTTTTTTAAATGAAGTAATGTAATATTATTAAAATTTAAACCTACATATTTATTAAAGTCTCAGCACAATAAAAAAAATCTATTCGAAATAGCCACCTTTGGCTTTTCTTTCATCTGTTTAACCACGGATCTATGAATTTACGCACTGTTTCCAAGGAAAATTTTGCCACTGCTTGCTCTAAAGATTTTTAAGAGACTCAATGCTGCCGTGTTGTTTAGAGCAGGCCATGTCATCTTAAACTGACCATCTTATCAGAATAATATACTAGACGGGCATTTTTGCCTAAGAACCAATAACAGCATGCAACAATTATAAAGGGTTTTTATGTACTTTAATTGTTGTTTTGACGGAGTGTCCCAAAACACTGTGTAGCAAAAAAATATGACAGTAAAGCCAGCTAGAAAATAATTTCAAACTCTTTACTATTGGATCATATCATATTAAACTTAAACCAAATTATATTGTGTGGAGCATCTGCACAATGGCCTTATTGAAGTGAAAAGAGATCATTTATAGAAGATTTGCAACGATATGTACAATATGTCTCAAAATGTATTGTCAATAAGAGGCTGTATACAGTCTCGCCATGTAAGGGCAAAAAAATATTTATGTTAGATTTTGGTTGGCATCATATTTGTACTTGTTTGTCAGTGCTCCGGACGTTGGGTCGTTGTGCCCATAAAACTTGTATTGTATTATAGTATGTATGAGGGCATAAGGCTTTTAATCGTGTGACAGATATAGATTGATAATAATGATATAAAGTCATTTATCATTTATAAGATTATATTATTATATAAAAAAATGAACAATTATATGTCGCTTGTTGTTATTGGTTCCTAGGCAGGATTCCATACATATTTGCGCGTTCTCCTTTGATTTTCGTTGCAGTTTATTAACAAGTAAGCTTACCAGGTCCAGACAGGGACTATTACGAAAATATTTTTTAGTTATAAATATGTTCACCGCCTACTGCTTATACATAAATAATGTAATACTCTATACAATGTTCTGTTTTATTCTTCCATGGTCGCTCATACTATATTGATTTATGGTCAATTGTAAACCTTCCTTACAGACGATCACTTGTTTGATACATGAATATGGGCTGATTCAACGTTCTATGTAATCATTTCAGGTACAGACGAAGAAGATTCAAGTGAACCAAACTGTGTTTGCAACACCACCCGTAAGCATTAACGCTTGTCCATTAATTTAATTTAGAAAGGCAACAATGTAGATTCCATAATGGCATACCTTTTTAATGTTATTAGAATATTGACTCATATAAAATAAATAAATAAATATTTCACACCAACACTCACACCAATTAGCCTAGCCCCAAAGTAAGCACTGTATGGCTTGTGTTATGGGATACTAGGGTAACGGATAGAATACATATACTGTACATATATAAGTATATTTATATAGAAATTCATATGAAACGGCATGACTGGAGTACAAATGCTCGTATTCATCACACAAACATTTGCCCCCACCGGTATTTGAACACGGGACCTCTCAACTAGGTGACACCTTAAAACCCGGCGTACAAACCACTTAGCCACGGAGGTAGTTAGCTGTTGGAAAGTCAACAAATTATCAGATTTAAAATCAGGTGTGAGTAAAGTTCAAATTGTGAGGTCAGTTATTGTTATACCATGTCATCCTTTACTTCGAGAAAGCCTGTGGAGCTCTAGCTCTCTTAAAGGACACAACAATCAGAAGAAAAGAACAGAAGAAGACAATTTTACTGCAATTTTGCATTATTAAGTTTGGGTCTGTTGCTCTTCTCCAGAGCTCTCCAAATGAAGCGGGAAAGCCGTTTTCTCCTAATTGACTTATTTTTCATTAACGTTCATGTAGATCGATCGTATAAACTTTTTAGCTCCTCATTATTACGTTTTCATTCTATAAAATTTGCCTACATACTATGCGGCCATATCTTTATACAATCAAATGTTGTGATCGATATAAATGTTTCTAAATAAGTATCAGTAAGTACCTTCGTATCAGCCGGCAAGCTTCATTTTCGGAATTTATCCAACTCAACTTAAAAGGCTTCAATAATAATAAATGAATGTTGAGAGGTATCAATATAATCATATTGCCTTATGTTTTCAATTCCCAGAACCGATATGCCCACAAAATGAAGTGTACTCAAACTGTTCCAATGGGTTATGCCAGTTAAAATTGTGCACCCAATACGGAAGTCCGAAACCATATTGTCTAAGATTCAATGTAAGCAATTGCAAAGGCGGGTGTATATGTCAAAATAAGTACTTGAGAAACCCTCAAGGTGTCTGCGTACCTCAAGAACAATGTCCAAGTAAGAAATTCATCTCAATTCTTTTCTCTCAATTTTATTTATATTTAGGCACTTTCTTGGAAGTTTCAAGTTATGCAGACGATTTGAAAATATCAAAAGTCTTACAACCTTGCCCAATAGATGGCGTTGCAGTCGGTTTTTAAATATATAATTATATCGGGCAGGATAGCGTATGCTGGATCCGCTGGTCCCTTATGAAATATTCCTATATCTATGTAAATCTGTAGCTAAAATATATGAAATTTTTAAGACGTGTTGACATGACATTAAAGTTTTAGTCACTTCAAATTTTATTTATACGCAAAATATTCAGGCATTTATTTCCCAATGTTACAGAATATTTATGTAAGGACAATGAAGTATATTCCAACTGTACTAATGGGGGATGTGATGCGAGGAATTGTTCACAATTAGGGTCACCTGTACCATGCGTCAAATTAGATCCAGCTGATTGTATAAGAGGCTGCGTTTGTGTTAAAGGCTTCTTGAGATCTAAGAATGGAACGTGTATCCCATCAGAAAATTGCCGTAAGTAAATGCTGTGTTATATATTAAAGATTTAATTAATAAATTAATTTTAAATTCTATCAATATTATCGTATATTCATTGCAAAAAAACCTATAACCGTAAGGTTATTGTAACACATGGAGGTATGTATTACAAGTAGATACACACCACAAATAGTAACATCTTACTGCGAAATATATTTTTGTTTTCCTGTGAAATTCTCTTGCAATATAAAATTGACACAATTTAATGCAATAAAAACACCTAACAAATTTCAAAATTCAATATATCTTCATTCAAATTGATTGTATAGGACAACTCTTTTGAGTCGTCTAATATTTTTTTCTTTAATGCAGTGCACCTTCAGGTATGACCAGTTATCTTTTGACATTATTTGTTTCTTTAGCAATTGTTTGCAAAACAAATGAAGTGTACTCAAACTGTACCAATGGTGGATGCCAGGCAAAGAGATGCTCTCAGCTAGGCTATCAAATCCCTTGTGTAGATTACAACTCTGCTTCGTGCATCAAGGGATGTGCCTGTATAGATGATTACGTGCGAAATGACAAAGGAGTTTGTATACCCATTGATCAATGCCGTAAGTATTTTCAAAAACATTATAATTGTCCAAGTAACAAAAGTAGAGGAGATGTCGATTAACATTGGACAGTTTTGAAAAATCTCATAATTTCACCTACATATTTTATTTACAGCATCTTGCGGTGGAGACGTGAATGCAATGCGTGGTTGTGGTAATTGTGGAAGGCATTGTTCTAACTACAAGATTAAAAAGCCTAGATGCCCACGTATACCGTGCTATATCAACGATTGTAAATGTAAACCAGCCTACGTGTACGATGACAATATTCAAAAATGTGTATTACCTAAAGATTGCAGTACGTTTGATTCTATCTAGTGCAACTTTAATTTGAGGACTTTTGTGGTAAAGTTTTTAAGATGCCGCCTACTCTGAGGTCCTGGATTCAAATCCTTGTTTGATACATATGAAAGTTCACAAATAAGGAGATACTTCATTAAAGTTGACACAGTGGCCTGGGCGTGACAGTATAGCAGAGGAAATACTGACAGAATTACGTACACAGGATTTGCTGACGACTTCGCCTACATGTTGTTTAAAAACAGAAATTTCTTAGGGAAAACATTTGCTAAAATATAAATGACCAATATGAGTGGGTCATATTGATCACAAATTCATATTTTCGCTAACTACAATTTCACAAATTTAATATTGTAATAGTTTAAGAAACTATTGCATTTTAATTATCTACCTGTAATTTAGCAGCCCATTATAGTTTGAAGTCTTTAAGTAAAATCCATTACAATTTAGTTATCCATTTTAATTTAATAGTTTTGATAAACTATGATTTGGAAAAATATATATATTAGCATAAGTAATAACTGTATATTTATTACAGCACCAGAATGCGGCATTTTTGAAATATACTCTAATTGTTCGAGAATAGGATGTCAACCTAAAAAATGCTCTGAAGTTGGATTACCCATTCCATGTGATCCTAAAACCTGTGTCAAAGGTTGCATTTGTATACAAGACTATCTGCGAGCTGATAATGGAACCTGCATACCTGCAAACCAATGCCGTAAGTCTGATAAGTATTCTAAAAATAAAAACCATGAATTAGCGAATGGCGTGCAAATCCGTGTTGTTTGATATTTTATGATATCTTATCATGTAACAAAAACACAATCATTATATTTTAGAAATGTTTAGTCTTCCTTACAAGGTTTTAAAAAAAATACCTATTTTACTTACTATTCAACTTACTATACGATCTTTATAACTTACACCCTTTTCAACTTACTATACGATCCACGCACCCCTGGATATCTGAAATCGCGGTTTCAGTTTCTGGGGTCTTCCCATCGATTAAATCTCCGCTCAACTGATAATTTGATATTAGAAGTACCGATTCACCATACTAGGTTTGTCTCCAGTTCATTCACCCTTACTGCCATTCGGCTCTGGAATTCACTTCCTCTAGACGATCGAAACGCTCCAAACAGGACGGTGTTTAAGAGTTCGGTGCGGGAATATTATTTGAATCTATTGCATAGTGCTTAAGTTTTTTTTTTTTGACACACACCAATTAGCCTAGCCCCAAAGTAAGCACTATAAGGCTAGTGTTATGGGATGCTAGGGTAACGGATAGAATACATATACTGTACATATATAAGTATATTTATATAAATACATATTAAACATCCATGACTGGAGTACAAATGCTCGTATTCATCACACAAACATCTGCCCCCACCGGGATTCGAACCCGGGACCTCTCGAGTCGGCGACAGCCATGAAACCCGGCGTACAAACCACTCGGCCACGGAGGTCGTTAAAGTTGAAGCAGGATACTAAAATCGGACACTATACTATAGTATAGGTATATTATGTATATATTTATGTGTATATGTGTGTGTATGTATGTATATTTATGTTTGTATGTATGTGTATACGTGTATGTATTAAACGCTATTTAATTTTGTTTTTTCATTGTTTGATGTTTGCTCTTTCCTATGATTGTCTGCCGTTTTATTGACTCTGCACGGTCTTTCCGGATGACTGGTAGAGAATGCCATGCTGGCATTAAGTCCGCCATATGCAATGTAAAGGCATTAAAGAATAAATAAATTAATTAATTATATGTACAAAAATATAGTTAGGATTATTCAATACACACCATTCCTTTGCGATCTATATTCCTTGTGGGAGTGGTATAACATCAAAAGTTGATCTTGAGAGTACAACGTGCTTAAAAAATATTATACCACGTCGACTCCAACGACGTTATATAAAAAAATATGTAAGATAAATAAGAGAGTGCTATATTAATAAAATTGTTAAAAAAGGGAAACAAGACCGACTTGAATAATTATCGTCCTATTAGTTTGCTAACACAACTTTACAAACTTTACACCAAAATCATCACGATTCGGCTGACCAAGAAACTGGACTTCTATCAACCAGTTGAACAGGCAGGATTGAGAAGTGGATTTAGTACCATGGACCACTTACTATCCGTGAGGATCATCACAGAGAAGGCTACATTCATCGTTTGAAAGGTAACATTCATCGTTTATAGAAAGATTTTTGATAGCATTGAGTCTTGTGCAAGGATTTGATCCCTACAAAATGCTAGAATAGGCCATCGCTATACCCAGCTAATACAAATACGTCTTTAAAAGTGAACCATCCATCAGAAACAAGAGCTATTAGAGAGGGCAGAAGAGTAATGCAGGGTGATACTTGTTCTCTTAAACTGTTTACACTCGTGTTGGAGGAAATATTAAGAGGCTAAATTTAGAAAAAATATGGTCCTAATAAAGCAGAAAACGGACTTAACAACTTAAGGTTCGCTGACGATATTATGTTGCTTTCTGACTGTCCGATGGATCTCGAAAACATGATACAGGTGAGAAGCGAGGCTGCTTCTAGGCAGGTTGCTTTAAAAATGATATAAGAACTTCGATAAAACCAAGATTATGACAAATTGTCCCAATAACACAATGCCTATTAAAATCAACCAAAACGCCATAGAAAAAGAACATAAATATGTGTATTTTGATCAAGAGATCGTAATGGGAAAGCAAAACCCAACGATTGAAATCAACCGACGCTTAAAACTCACATGGGCAGCCAACTACAAAATAAAATTCGCGTTCCGAATGAAAATCATATCTAAGCAAAAAGCTCGCATTTTTGACTACTACATCTGACGTGCTTGCTTATAGAGCTAAAACCAGAAAAAATATCACAAAGCTTAGAGTACCTCAGAAAGCAATTGAAAGAAAACTGGTATGGGTTACACTGAGAGACAGAAAAAGGAACGATTGGCTGTGAGAAAAAAGTAGGGTCACCGATGTTACCAAGCGAATCACAAAACTTAAGTGGCAGTGGACTGACCATATTGCTAGGAGGCGAGATTCATGGTATGAAGTACTCATAGACCATGGGGTGAGAAAGGACCCCAAAGAAGACCAATAGGATGTGTTAGTACGACGACATTAAAAGAACAGATGAAGTGAAATGGAGCGAAAAGCCCAAAACCGAGAACAAAGGCATAAAATGAAGGTGTAGGCCTCAACCCACCCGGTAGACAATGGCTAAGAAGATAAATAAATTCGCTAAGCCGTGTAGGCTTAGCGAATTTATTTATCTTCTTAGCTTGAGATAGTTTGCCTTAAAGGTTGTTTTTCAATTTACAGCTTCAAGAATGGGAGCAAAATGAAGTATACATGTTTTAATGGCATTTCCCGATTCAAATCCTGCTTGTACTATTGCCCGATATTCTATATGAATAATTGCAAAGCTGGTTGTAATATGACAAGTGCAACTTGAGAGTTAAAGTTTGTAAACATGTACTTGGTTTATTGCCAAAAACTCTAACATCGTTATGTAAAATTATACATTGATATTACTTATATATTATCATTGAAATTATTTAAACACAAAAAGGTACACATTAAGATATCATATAAATGGACTTTTAAAACAATATTGCTTCATAAGTTGTTTTCTAATTTACAGCTCCAAGATGTGGACAAAATGAAGTGTACTCAAATTGTTCTAATGGTGTATGCCGATTGAAATTCTGCACACAATATGGAAACCCGTTACCATTCTGTCCAAGATTCAACATCAGCAATTGCAAGGGCGGTTGCATATGTAAAAACAGATACTTAAGAAATCCTGAGGGACTTTGTGTGCCACAGGAACAATGTCCAAGTAAGTAGAAAGTATTTTTGTTTCAATAATCAATTTAATTGTCTTATGAAACTGATTGAGGAGTTCGATGGCGCGGGTGGTTATAACGTTCGGCTGCGATCGAAGTTACGCAACTTTCGCAGTGGTCTGTCATTGGATGGGTGACTAAAAATTTTCTATCTCGAGTTCCTCCGTGCTTCGGACGGCATGTTAAGCCGTTGGTCCCGGTTGCATCTGCAGTCGTTAGAACCCGCCAATCCGCACTGGGCCCACGTGGTGAGTCATGGCCCAATCTCCTATTCAATCCATAGGGAAGGCCTGTGCCCAGCAGTGCGGACATTAATAGGCTGATAATGATGATGAAACTGATTTAAGCATCTTTCGGCTATTGTGGCTGCTTACCAATAGGTGGTCTATACGCTTGTTTGCCACTCTTTAACTTAACAAATACTCGTTTTTAGCTATCATTATTCCCCGCTGTGAGGTATTTTTAATTTATTTTATAGAATACTTGTGCTCGAAGAACGAGGAATATTCCACCTGTACCAACGGAGGATGTGACGCGAGAAACTGCTCGCAGTTAGGGTCACCTGTACCATGTGTCAAGTTAGATCCAGCAAATTGTAAAAAAGGATGTGTTTGTGTGAAAGGTTATTTGAGAGCTGACAATGGAACTTGTATCCCTTCAGACAAGTGCCGTAAGTTTTAATCTGTTTTAATATGTATTAAAATAAAAACATTTGAAACTAAGATTTATATCAAACTAGCTTTCACCTACCCCTTTGCTCGCGTCAACTTTAGTTTTTTGAGAATCTCTAAGAACCTAAACCTTTTTTGTGATTCTTATGTGTCCAAACCAGGTAATAAACTATATGTGTTCAAAATTTCATTAAAATGCATTCCCCAAGTTTAGTGAAAGAATAACAACATTCGCATTCATAATATTATATTGGTAGGATACACACCATACACTCACGCTTTTTATTCCTTGCGGGGTTAGCATTATATTAAAAATGCAGCTTAAGAGTAAAATGTATTTAAACATGACTTTGTGATGACGCCAACTGTTGAGAAATAATAATTATTAACAGAAACTCACGAATATGTTTTACATTGAGATTTATTTTTATTAATTGCAAATACAGAAAAAAATCTTTTGACAACTGACGTAAAAACAAACTAAAAAGAACACCGTAACCTATTGTAAACAAAGGAGTTTTCAACACCAACCACGTTATATCAAATTATATTATGTTTAATAAATGAATTAACTTAACAATGTAAGAAGACAGTTTTCCTTATAGGTTGTTTTCCAATTTACAGCTCCAAAATGCGGAAGAAATGAAGTGTATTCGAATTGCTCTAATGGTATGTGCCGATTTAAATTCTGCACACAATATGGAAACCCGTTACCATTCTGCCCAAGATTTAACATCAGCAATTGCAAGGGCGGTTGCATATGTAAAAACAAATACTTAAGAAATCCTGAGGGACTTTGTGTGCCACAGGAACAATGTCCAAGTAAGTAGAAAGTATTTATGTTTCAATATTTAATTGTCTTATGAATCTGATTAAGGATATCGATGGCGCGGGTGGTTATTGCGTTCGGCTGCGATCGTCGAAGTTAAGCAACATTCGCAGTGGTCTGTCATTGGATGGGTGACCAAAAATCTTCTGCCTCGAATCCTTCTCCTTCTATCCGCACTGGGCCCGCGTGGTGGGTCATGGCCCAATCTCCCTATTCAATCCATAGGGAAGGCCTGTGCCCAGCAGTGCGGACATCAATTGGCTGATAATGATGATGATGATGAAACTGATTTAAGCGTCTTTCGGCTATTGTGGCTGCTTACCAGTAGGTGGGCTATACGTTTGTTTGCCACTCTTTAAGTTAACAAATACTCGTTTTTAGCTATCATTATTCCCCGCTGTGAGGTATTTTTAATTTATTTTATAGAATACTTGTGCTCGAAGAACGAGGAATATTCCACCTGTACCAACGGAGGATGTGACGCGAGAAACTGCTCGCAGTTAGGGTCACCTGTACCATGTGTCAAGTTAGATCCAGCAAATTGTAAAAAAGGATGTGTTTGTGTGAAAGGTTATTTGAGAGCTGACAATGGAACTTGTATACCTTCAGACAAGTGCCGTAAGTTTTAATCTGTTTTAATATGTATTAAAATAAAAACATTTGAAACTAAGATTTATATCAAACTAGCTTTCACGTACCACTTCGCTCGCGGCAACTTTAGTTTTTTGAGAATCTCTAAGAACCTAAACTTTTTTTGTGATAAAAAGATTCTTATGAGTCAAACCAGGTAATAAACTATATGTGTTCATAATTTCATTAAAATGCATTCCTTAGTTTCGTGAAAGAATAACAACATTCGCATTCATAATATTATATTAGTAGGATACACACCATACACTCACGCATTTTATTCCTTGCGGCGTTAACATTATACTAAAGTGCAGCTTAAGAGTAAAATGGACTTAAACATAACTGTGTGATGACGCCAACCACGTTATGTCAAATTATATGTTTAATAAATGAATTCACTTAACAATGTAAGAAAACAGTTTGCCTTATAGGTTGTTTTCCAATTTACAGCTCCAAAATGCGGAAGAAATGAAGTGTATTCGAATTGCTCTAATGGTATGTGCCGATTTAAATTCTGCACACAATATGGAAACCCGTTACCATTCTGCCCAAGATTTAACATCAGCAATTGCAAGGGCGGTTGCATATGTAAAAACAAATACTTAAGAAATCCTGAGGGACTTTGTGTGCCACAGGAACAATGTCCAAGTAAGTAGAAAGTATTTATGTTTCAATATTTAATTGTCTTATGAATCTGATTAAGGATATTGATGGCGCGGGTGGTTATTGCGTTCGGCTGCGATCGTCGAAGTTAAGCAACATTCGCAGTGGTCTGTCATTGGATGGGTGACCAAAAATCTTCTACCTCGAATCCTTCTCCTTCTATCCGCACTGGGCCCGCGTGGTGGGTCATGGCCCAATCTCCCTATTCAATCCATAGGGAAGGCCTGTGCCCAGCAGTGCGGACATCAATTGGCTGATAATGATGATGATGATGAAACTGATTTAAGCGTCTTTCGGCTATTGTGGCTGCTTACCAGTAGGTGGGCTATACGCTTGATGCCACTCTTTAACTTAACAAATACTCGTTTTTAGCTATCATTATTCCCCGCTGTGAGGTATTTTTAATTTATTTTATAGAATACTTGTGCTCGAAGAACGAGGAATATTCCACCTGTACCAACGGAGGATGTGACGCGAGAAACTGCTCGCAGTTAGGGTCACCTGTACCATGTGTCAAGTTAGATCCAGCAAATTGTAAAAAAGGATGTCTTTGTGTGAAAGGTTATTTGAGAGCTGACAATGGAACTTGTATCCCTTCAGACAAGTGCCGTAAGTTTTAATCTGATTTAATATGTATTAAAATAGAAACATTTGAAACTAAGATTTATATCAAACTGGCTTTCACCTACCACTTCGCTCGCGGCAACTTTAGTTTTTTGAGAATCTCTAAGAACCTAAACCTTTTTTGTGATAAAAAGATTCTTATGTGTCAAACCAGGTAATAAACTATATGTGTTCATAATTTCATTAAAATGCATTCCTTAGTTTCGTGAAACAATAACAACATTCGCATTCATAATATTATATTGGTAGGATACACACCATACACTCACGCATTTTATTCCTTGCGCCATTAACATTATATTAAAGTGCAGCTTAAGAGTAAAAACTTAAACATAACTTTGTGATGACTTCAACCACGTTATATCAAATTATATGTTTAATAAATGAATTAACAATGTAAGAAGACAGTTTTCCTTATAGGTTGTTTTATTCCTTGCGGGGTTAGCATTATATGAAAAATGCAGCTTAAGAGTAACAAGTACTTAAACATAACTTTGTGATGAGGCCAAGTACGTTAAATCAATATTGAAAAATAGTATATAAAACAATAGTTTAATAAATGAATTCACTTAACAATGTAAGAAGACAGTTTGCCTAATAGGTAGTTTTCTAATTTATAGCTCCAAAATGCGGACGAAATGAAGTATACTCAAATTGTTCAAACGGTATATGCCGATTGAAATTCTGCACACAATATGGAAGTCCGTTACCTTTCTGCCCAAGATTTAATATGAGTAATTGCAAAGGTGGTTGCATATGTAAAAACAAATACCTCAGAAACCCTCAAGGAGTTTGTGTACCACAAGAACAATGTCCAAGTAAGTAAAAAATATTTGTCCCGAAACCTTAAATAAAAATTAATATATGCATACGCTGCTTTACTTGTCGAAAAGTGTATTGTTTAATTAATTGCAAATTTAGCATCACCATTGCAATAATAATAGAAGGCATGAATAAGATTTATCAATTATTTGAAAATAATACGCGCTGCGCCCAGTGTTGCCAGATCCGATTTTTAAAAATCGAGAGGCGTTATATAAAATAGCAGTAGATGTATGGAAAGAGCTACAAGAAAGCTGCCGACAAACTGTTGCACAGTTTGGCAGAATAGAAATAAGTGTTGTACTTAGTTTTCATGAAAAAAATTAATAAATAAATAAAAAAGCAGATGCAAAGGCGTATTTTCTCCGATTTTCCCCTCAAAGCTTGCCTTTTATTAGACATGCAATTTAAAAAACAAAATAATCTTCTTTGATATACAGTAGATCCGTGTAGAAAAACAGAAGAAAAGGAGAAAGGACAATGTTGAAATTGGCCTAAGAACCAACACCAATTTGGCATTTATGATTATTCTTAGTATAGTTTTTGCGATAATTAGGAGTATTTGGATTGTGACGGACACTTCCAGTTAAGTAAGCTAAATTAAAAAGTTTAATACCATTTTATGTGTATAATCTATGACAGCGCTGCAAACAAAAAACACTTTCTTCATAATGCCGGCACTTCACTTGACTATTCGTATTTGCTATTTAAAAACATGAAATCAGTCTGTCCTTTTCACTCTTTATTAAGCATGACAACTATGTATGAACACAGAACAATGTCCTTTCAGAAAAACATTAGACCTCCTGTAAAATCGGGAGACCCGGGCAACAGTGGCTGCGTCTTACTTACGCGTTTACTATGAATCTGAGTGCCAACGGTGCCAACTCTTTGCATTGTAGGCAATTGCAAGTTCAGATACTTTTACACTAATCAAAAATTCAAAAGGAAAAAAACAGCTACAGTTTTATATCAAAAAAAAAATACTAGGAAAATTTCAACTCGGCCCAACTGTCAATCTGGAATCAGTGCCCTTGATTATCCGAAAAATTTCATAGACCTTTTTTGTATTAAGATAATTATACATCCTGATCTGCAGACACCGCAACATTTTCAATATTAACTACAATTGCTGCAGTATAAGATATACTAGAAAATAATCATTTCAGGAACATAACGATCAGCGGTTTTGTCTGATTAGCGAAGTAATTACACTGGTTTGATTTTAGCATAAAGCTTAAGCGGTGTTGTTGTTTTTCTAATAAAAATGTTCTAATACGTATACTTTACTGTTTAATATGTATTAAAAATTGTATTTCAGTATATTTATGCACTGGCAAAGAAGTATATTCTACCTGCACCAATGGAGGATGTGAAGCGAGAAACTGCTCACAGTTAGGGTCACCTGTACCATGTGTCAAGTTAGATCCGGCTAGTTGTAAAAGAGGCTGTGTTTGTGTGGAAGGTTATTTGAGAGCTGACAATGGTACTTGCATACCAAAAGCAAAATGCCGTAAGTATATATTATATTTAATTTTACTAGTTATAATTTTTATTATTTTAAAGCATGTAACTGCTTGATGTTTAAATCTAAAGAAAATATAACTAGAAACATTTGACATTGTGGGTTACCTATAATGCGAAGAGATGGCGCTGCCTTGCAGCTTAAGAATGGGTAGAGGAATTTCGACGCGTTCCGTGAGGGCCGCGGTAGCATAATTGGTCAGTGCATTCGCCCGGATTGCGAACGCGGGTTCGAGTCCCGTCTGCTTCCTGGTCCGCGTGGATTTTTTTCTATTTATATTTTCTCAATACTAGTTACACTAAACATGAAGGTGTTTATAAATAAATAAACACTTCAAGCCATATCCTTCGCGGACTTGGCAACGCAACCATGAGCAGAGATGTAAATTCCAACTTATAATTTCTTTAAATTATGAACGAATTGTTAACTATTTATTACGAGCAGGTTATAAATCTTAGTTATAGATAGACTAATCAGGCTTTCTATTACTTGGTTTGAGATTGTACTAAATTGACGTATGGCTATCTGTACAACATTTTTTTTGATAAAAAACATTATAATTTTTCAATGTCTTTTTACAGCTTCGGGAAAGAACAACAACCCGTGCAGAACTGAAGATTAGAACCAATCATGGAAAAACAAATTGTTGAAATGCTAATAAAAGTTTACTCACAGGTTACTTGTGTTTTATTTCTCATTTTATATAAATCATCCGATTCAACCAATATCCATGTAACAATCCAACAGTGAATGACTGAATATAATTATACTTTACTCAAATTGCCTTATTAAAAGCTCTTTTGAACCGTCACATTTTTTTTCTTCCTCCCATTCAGGACATGTTTTAGCTGATGAGAAGAATGGGCGCAAGAAACTCAAATTAACTGATGTAGCAATATATACATAAAATCATGTCGTTACTAATACAACGTCCACTCACATTTTGATTGCTGTGTTAAAGAGTATAAATACAAATAGTGTTTATAGCTAGGGAGTTAGTGGTACTTTAGATATATTATTTAAAAAGAGGAGCTCATTGGCGCAAGTGGTTAGCGCGTTCAGCTGCGGACGTTGAAGTTAAGCAACTTTTGCAGTGGTTGGTCATTGGATGAGTGACCAAAAATTTACTATCTTGAACTCCTCCGTGCTTCGGAAGGCACGTTAAGCCGGGACCAACCCGGCTGCATCCGCAGTCGTCAGCACCCACCAATTCGCACTGTCATGGCCCAATCTCCCTATTCCAACCATAGGGAAGGCCTGCGCCCCAGCAGTGGGGACATTTATAGCCTGATGATAATGATGATTTAAAAAATTAGTGGCGAGCTTAGGTAGCATATTCAAAGTACATCGCCCGAGGGAAAAATAATTTGCTCTCGAGTCATTTGTCTCGAGACACTCTACTTTTCATCCCCTTTCTATGAGAAAATAAAGAAGAAGACGGTGTTATGTAATAATGAATATATTTAATTAAAAGAAGACATGTGAAATGAAGTAAAAATAATTACAAATTTATATTTATATTGGATACGCTAGCGCCATTATTAAAAGTTATTGTTACTGTTTTATTTGGGATCGATTGTTGTCGATTCATTTACATTTTGAGTATTTGTTATCTTAGTATCTGTGAGTGATGCTCAAGCAAAGGTACAGAATCCTTTGACGTAGAAGGATGTGGCGACAATGGCATGGATGAAGTGTCTTTAGGTATTAATTAAATGTTTTCTGCAATGCGGGTACTAGGTTTTCCTTATTTTGAATAGAATCTTCGATGTAATCCTCTGCTATAGAGCTGGATTTCCACCCTCCGTGCCGCTTTAAAGCAGCTTTTCCATTTTGATATCTAATAAAAATCTATTAGATGTTATATCAGAAGGACGCAGGCTCTGATATTTTTACCCGACTGTGCAATGCAAGAGAGCGAAGCGCGACGCGCAGACAGGGTATAGTGTTTAACAGTCTATATATGTATGTTTGTGGCACACTAGAGACCAAACGCCTGGACCGATTTTGATGATTAATACATCATCGATTCGTCTCGATCATGGGAGTGCTACTAAAGATATGATATTAATCAAAATTCAATATGGGGAAAATTAGGTGCCATATTGTGACGAAGTAAAAAAAAAGTTGACAAAATATGTCGACTGGGGTATCATTGTCTAGATAATCAAAAATCATGTTTAGGTTCCTTACACTATTTTTCATTTTATATGATTGTTTAGGGTCTACAACGCTTTAAAGTTGTATATTAACCACTTGCGCTTTTAATTTCAATCTTGCGTTTGTATGGATCTTTGTTACTCTTTCACCTAAAAATACTGAATGGATTTTAATGAAACTTAACAGTAATATAGCTCATATATGATAATAACATATATATAATAATTTATGTAGTTATTGAGTAAATTATCCAAAATATTACAATAAGACGTGTCACATAAGACGGGAAAAATCTCCCATGTGCGAGCCATTTTGGCCTGCACTGATACTTCCACCCTTAAGACTAATTCCGTACAGACAGACTTTTAAAACACATCTGAAATCATTTTTATTAGAACAACAGAAAATTGGAATATCCAGAAATAAGTTGCTTGGGTGCGGAGTTTTCGGCGTTGGTGTTGTGTGCTTTAATTTTAATTTTATTTTCACTGAAACTACTGTGAATTTTAATCTGACATTTAATTGCGTGACCTCATCTATATGGGTCAAAACTGAAAATCAGCGATTTACTGTCGGAGTAAATGTTACGCTGAGTTTTCGCCCATTCGCATCGCTGCTGCACACGAAAATATCAGTATAGTTGTATAAGTAAGATTTTTTGTATGTTTTAAAGGATTTATATAATTGTAAAATTTGTCTTCAATTTTGTATGTGTGCATGTTAGTGTGAATAAAGTTTTATCTATCTATTTATCTATCACTGCAAAAATAATAAAACTTACATGAATGTAATGTAGAGTGAAAATGTATCTTTTAAATAGTTCTACTAAAAAACCCGTGACACCATATATCTATTTTTAATGTGTAAGCCATTACCGCTAAAATAGTGAATCAAAACTAAAATATTATTTGATATCTATTTCCAAAATGCACATTTTGTATTAACAAATTATTTTTTATCAAAACAAATACTTTTATCGCTTTTGATATTTAAAGACGATAAACTTTGCCTGTCATTCGACAAATATTTAAAAAGTTACAACGATGACAAAGTGATAGCGCGGTGTACTATGTAGGAGTAGACTGCGGGAATACTAAGAGAAGAATACTTTTAACAATAGGTTCCTTGACTTGGTATTATCTTCTTTTGACTGTTCTACTCATGAAACCTTTCCAATTAGTTGCCAGGACATTCAGCACCCAGCTATTTTGATACATTTCAGTGTACGTTCATCAATCAAATCTTTACCACAAAAACGACAACAGCGATTAAATTACAAAAAATGTAATTATCATGATTTGAATAGTGATATAGAGTGCACAAATTGGGAAGAGGTGCTTTCCTCAAATGACGTCAATATTGATACTAATAGTTTTTATTTCAAGCTCAGGGAACTAATAGCTAGGCATACCACTGTAATTAAAGGTAATGCTAATTCGTTTCCGTCCTGGTTTAGCTCAGGATTGAGGCGCTGTTTAAGAGGGAAGCAGAAGTATCATAAGTTGTTCAAAAAATATAAAAATCCGCGTGATTATGATACCTTTTCGATGTTGCGTGCTAGATGTAAGAGACTCATCGATTCATGTTATAAGAGTTATTTGGAATCAGTTGAGGAATCTTTAAATAAAGATACTAAATACTTTTGGAGTTTCGTTCACAATAAGAAGAAGACTTCGTGTGGTATTCCAAATACCATGATATTCGAAGGCCATGAATCATCTAATAGGAAGGGTATTTGTGATCTTTTTGCTACATATTTTAGCTGCGTGTACGCCGATTCGTCCAATAGTGATGCACAATTTCGTTTTTCTTCTGATGATGTGAGGCAGAGTAATAATGTTATTAGTACAATTTACATAAGTGAAAGCGATATACAATCTAAAATTAAGAAGTTGGATGAGTTTAAGGGAGCTGGTTCAGATGGCATTCCTCCAGTATTGTTAAAGCGATGTGTTAAGCCTTTAAGTGTTCCTTTATGAATCTTGTTCAATAAATCTTTAAAAGGGGGTGTGTTTCCGACTCTTTGGAAAACAGCACATGTTGTCCCGGTGTTTAAGTCTGGAGATAGATCACTTTGTAAAAATTATCGTCCTATAAGTATATTGTCTTGCTGTGCGAAACTGTTTGAAAGTTTTATATATGATGCTTTGTATAATCACTTCAAACCAGTTTTGTCACCAAAACAACATGGTTTCTTAAAAGGTAAGTCAACAACATCAAATCTGTTGGAATATAAGTATTATTTATGCGATGCTTTCTCTAAGAGAGCACAAGTAGACTCCATTTATACCGACTTCTCAAAGGCTTTCGACAGAGTCGATCATTCCCTACTCTGCCGGAAGCTGGAATCACTCGGTGTCCATGGAAGTTTGTTAAGGTGGGTTAAATGTTATTTAAGTAGAAGAAGCCAATTAGTTGCTATAAAAGGTGAGCTTTCATCAGCATTTGCAGTTTCGTCTGGTGTTCCTCAAGGCTCACACTTAGGGCCTCTTCTGTTCATAGTGTTTGTCAACGATCTTATTAGTCGATTATCATGTCCATATCTACTATATGCTGATGATTTAAAGCTCTACAGTACAATAACATGCATCAGAGATGCAATGAGTCTTCAAAGGGATCTAGATATTTTATCCCAATGGTCTCAGGAGAACCGCATGCCATTGAATGTTGAAAAGTGTTTTGTGATTACGTTTACCAAAAAGAAGAATGTTGTAAACTTTGATTATTCTTTAAGCAATATTTTTTTATCTCGAAAATCTATTATCAGAGATCTAGGAGTGATGTTTGACAGTGATTTATCATTTCGAAGCCACTATGATCACATTATAAAAATTTCATCTCAAATATTGGGTTTCATGTGCAGAAACACATTACATTATTTTTAGAAAAAAACAAGTCCAGTAGTCTATAATTCTGTTAATAAGGAACAAAGCTACTTTAACAGTCGGGACCCATTAGATATTCAAGAATACATAATATTTTTCAATAATGGGTCCCGACTGTTAAAGTAGCTTTGTTCCTTATTAACAGAATTATGGACTACTGGAGTTGTTTTTTTCTTTTCAGTTTTTATTTGAAGTATATTAAAGCAGTCGGGTTTTTTGATTTTTTAAATTTACCTTTTTCTACTATTCGTTAGTACTGGCCACAAATGACAAAAGACCGATAAATTTTTGTTTTTGTGTCAATTAAATTCACTAAAATCAATTCATCTGAGAGTTTTTTGATATTAGTCCAGTCAATAAAAGTTTTCACCTCCGATTTCGTTGAATCTCCATCGATTTTCATGAAAATTAGTGAGTAGGTGGGGGATACCTTAAGAAACAAAAGTAACATATTGCCAACTTGCGCTTTTGCCCTGGGGGTAGATGCCACCCCATTTCGGGGGTGAAAATTATTTTAATAAAAGGGAACTCCAGGGATCGATAGTGAGACAGATTTTAAACAAAATTTGTTATATGA